AAACTGTAACCTTTTTTTTCTCAGTATAGAATTGCTGCTATAAAAAAACCTGTATTAACCGAACACCTTGAAACTGAAAAGTTTATTTATTCTTTATTTTTTTTAGAGACAACATCAATATCAATGATGTTCTGGGTGACTATTCTCTGACCCTGGTCGATGTCTTGGATACGTTAGCTGTAAGTATACAGTTACTTGCCAATCTGATTAATTAAAATAACTAAACATCCTATTTTTTTCCCTAATTTAATTTAATTTAATTTAATTTTATATTTAATTTAATTTAATTTTAATTATTTATTTATTTTTTTCATTTATTTGTTGATAGTTTTTTAAAGTTTTGGTAATTGCGAATACCAAAGGATCTGACTCAATGCCTTTATAAATCCCGTTCAAATCTTGTATAAGCTACAGCCAATCACAGCTAGCCTTTTATATTGGCCGACGGCATACTCATTGAAGAAAACAATTAAAAAACACTTACAAAATATTGTGTTGCGTCGCATGGGTTTTATTTTGAAGACAATCATCTCAATCAAAAGTTGGCCAGGAATAAAATGCCCAGAAAAGGTGGTTAGATACTCCGTCAATTTTTCAATCGCCTTTGAAGGCTAAAAAATCATGTTCTGTCGTGTACTGTGATGGTCAATTTATTTAATTTTTCCTTTTACTGACATGTTTTTGACCATATTTGGTTGCCCATAACATGGCCAGACATGTACCATCTATTGTCATTGCTCCAGTGATCTAGATGTGCGGTTGACTGCCGAAGCTCTGTACAGCAGGAATTATTTGGGGGGGTGGTGGAAGTAGGCTTCTACGATTGACACAAAAATATAACTGCAAATTTTAAATTTCTTCGCAATAAAGAATTTATTTGAATGCAACTATTGCCTACTTGATTTGCAGTAACATTTCGATTGACTTCAGATTATTACTGTCACTTGCACCTCAAATTGTTAAAGTGCGAGAGTTTGGCAAGACTTCATGTTATCATCGGTGTTGGTGATAATTTGTTTCTCCCATGCATTTTCTCGCAAATTTTTGTTAACCTTTGATAATTCTCATAAATTATCAGAGGGAATTTGGATTCTTGTCATTAAACTGTTTTATTTCAAAATTCCATACCATCACCATGTCGAAAAATATCAGTGGCGAGGATAATATCAAGTGTAGATAAGGTGCGTGAAAGTTTCTAGCTCACATATCAATTTTTTTGCAATTCATACTTTTCAGTGTAGCAATACTCTACAGCCAGTCTTCCTGTACAGCTCAATAAATTAACTTGCATAAACCATTAATAGAAAATTACAAGTACTTTTTTTATGTAAGAAAGAGAGATTCCACAGCATTTTACAATTTTTGTCATTACATTGAATATTTTCAACAAATGTGTACATTTCCTGGTGCATCTTCGCCAGCCAATGTTCGTTAATTCAGTCACCTCTTCAACTTTACACCAAACACTGAGCATAATTATCTAGAATGGGAACACAAAATAAGTAAATCATAATGTTTAGAACATCGTAAACAGCTACAGTAAACAATGCAAACTGATTTTAAATTGTATAACTGTCACCGTCGCACTCACGTTCACGCAGGATATTGGAGAAAAAATATTTCCTGATCAATTGCGATGTGTTCCAAATAAAAAATATTTTATTCCAGTCCAAATCAGCTCAATTACTTTTATAAATAGTTATTGTATAAAATATTGAAGATACATTTTGATGAATATTTACAGCTACGACTTCAATATAGTAGACGATTTTGGCTTGATCGTCAACAAAGCATCACCAGTCTCGGGCAAGCGACTGGAAAAAGATACCGGTGTTCGGTAGAACAAGTGGAAGAAAAATTGTCACTCCGGGAATAACTATGCAAAACAACGATCTAAACTAGAACTATTAAGCCACAATATAAACATAAAAATCATCGTTGACTTTCGTTGCATTTGATAATGATAAATTTACCAAAAGCTGTGTTTTCCCTGATCGTTTTCATCGCTAACAACAGTACATCTTTCAAATCGCACAGTCCCGTGTCTTCGACCTATAGGCCTCTACACGATACCTTGCGGAATCGCATAAACTAATTGCGTATCTTAAGCATTGAGATCTGATTGGGTGCGCCTCGAAACATGGATGTACCAAATTATAAAACAAAATTCCACGTCCTGTTTTTGTCGCTATGAAAACATCCTTCCCACACAAAACTACGTCGATTGCCTGTACACGATGAGGCTTGAGGGCACTAACACCGAAAACTTTTGCAATTTTATCATCACAAATATCACGATTCATGGGCGCCGCCATTTTGTTTAAAATGAAACTCCAAATAGGGATTTGTAACACGCAAACTGATTGGACAATGATTAGCCGCAACTGACTTCTGGGGGCGCTGTTAGAATATGCATATTTGATGGTCGTTCTGCCAAGGTCTGTTTAGAGGCTTGGCCGAACAAACTTAGACCTTGGCTAGCGAAGATGACATCGGTATAATCCGCCATTTTTTAGTCCCCGTTCGGATGAAGTCCGAAAACGGGGACTTATAATTCGGTCTCCATGCGTCCGTGCATCCGTGCGTCCATCCGGAGTCATATCTCAGAATCCCTTGGACCGATTCCGTTCATTCTTTGCATGTGCCTAGTACTTTATGTGGGACATATGCACATGCAGTGGTTTAGCGATTCGATTCAAAATGGTCGACTGGCAGCCATCTTGTTTTTTGAAAATATTGTTTTTGAACATGCTTTGTCAGTTTTCATTCAAACTTGGTACATAGATTATACATGTTAGGATACATGTTCATGACGATTTATTTCGCAATTGGGTCAAAGATGGTCGGCATCTTGTTTTATCTTATGCGGTACCTTGGACGTGCTCTGTCAGTTTTCATTCAAATTTGGCACATACATTTTAGACATGTTAGAATGCATGTCCATGACAATTTGTTTCAAAATCTGGTGAAGGATGGCCGATTGACAGCCATCTGACTTTTTGGCCTTACTACTATATTTCTACAATTTATGTACCATTTTCATTGGTATTTGGCACATACATCATACATATCAGTGTATTTCATAATCAGATCAAAGATCGCCGAATAACGGCTGTTTTTATTTTTTGCCATATTACTACTACACGGAGCACATGTTTTGATGTAAATAAACAATCTGTTGTATACGCCTCTTGGAACTCAAGTTTCAAGGACACGCTCGCAACAACCCCTCCGCTTTAATTTGATGAGCACAAAGAGAACTTTCGAAAATTTAACGGGGACTGTGTCATTTTCAATGACTTGTTTTAGTGTAGTTGTGACCTGACCCAGTGAAGTCATCAGGTGCGCTATAGAAGGAGGTCTGTGATTTGTTGACTAAACCAGTCAGAGGTGGTCTTGTTGAAATCTCGTTACATTGGTTCAGATGTACGTTGCGATAATTAAAAATATACCGAATCACAATTACGTAACAAAAAACATAAAAGAATACAAAATAATTAAAAAAAAATAGTAAAAGTAAAATTAAAGCTGCAAGCAGCATCACAGGGGCCCAAGTATACATGCCATAAATAATGTCAAATGATACACATGATACACAATTAGTTTGAATGATTAGTACCATGAGGTCGAAATGCAGTTGGTTCCATATATTTATTTGAGATATAAAGGTTATTAATATATGGTCATCTGTTATTTTAATCAAATCTCTTGTTCAACATAGTCATGATAACACAGGATTCATCTTCCTAACTGCAACAGTGCTTGAGATATAACAGTTATGCATATTAATGAGTTCACATGACCATATATGGTCATCTGTTATTTTATTCAAATCTCTTGTTTAACATCATCATAATAACACAGGTTTCATCTTCCTACCTGCAACAGTGCTTGAGATATAACAGTTATGCATATTAATGAGTTCACATGACCATATATGGTCATATGTTATTTTAATCAAATCTA